GCCTGTCTAAGTGCCCCCTTTCTGTAAAATGGGAAAGTGTGATTTTGCGTATCATTTCCTCTTGTTGATTGATGACTAGCAGGTTCGAGGTGGGAGTTTGGAGGGGATGTTTTCCCATCAGAGCCTTCTATGACAAGTGGCTCCAGCTGTCCCCCTCTCCCCCCACTGTCTGGGCGACAACAGGCAGACCAACAGGCATTTCCATCACCAGATTGCCAAACCGCTGGAGCATCTAGACTACAATACCCAAGGTGACCTTTAACAAAACACAGATTGGTGGATAGCTACGGTGGCAATAGTAGAACGGGTTATTGGAAATGGAAGAATGTTACAGTTTCAAATTGAATTGTGATAGACTTTTTCCTCATGCTGCTCCACATTGTGGCACTCCTTCAGCTGTGACTTCTTTCTTAAAGTATAACCTGTCGTGTGTGAATAGTATACACTCTTCCTCATGCGTGGTCTAATTTGTGGGTAAAAAGAATAGAACAAGCCTGTCAGCTACATCCTGCTCACTTTTGTTGAACTTGCTGCCTGTGTGGTATGCACACAGTTTCACCATCATCTCAGTCAGCAGGTAAGTGTGAAATATAACATGTTGGATAGAGGTCTCCCTGCCCCCCTACGCCAGACTGGCCCCTTGCTCACAGCTGTAATGGAACCCAGGGCAACGTGGATGTTGCTGGACCTTAAGAACCGGTTGTACCCACATCAAACTGAGACTAGATCCACACTTGGCCGGCTAAATCTGAATCATTATCAGGTAGCTCTCCATCCATATTAAAGCTCTTGAGTAATAGGTAAACAGCTAAATCTTTGTTCTCTGTTGGTTGACAAACAACACACTGACGCATTACAACCAACATTTGGTGAGGGGTGGGGCAGACATTGCCTCAGTTCCTGCTCTCCATGATCACTTGTAATGTGTTTTACGTGCAGCTGAATGCACAATTTAATTGTTCTCATTAACGCATTTCTCTGTTTTGTTCTCATTAATGCATTTCTCAGCCAAATGAACAAGCATAAAACAGTGATTTGATCTCAGCTCGTAAATGTTACCTGTTAGCCAACAGTAATTCCTGTGCTGCTGCACTGGGACTCAATCGTTGAATTTTATGATTGCGCAGCCGTCAGAGGTAAACATAGATGCATTTAATGGCAACTGCAATGTGTGATCACTATATTGACATTTAAAATGAGTGCTCACAAAGTATGTATAAAGGGCCCTTAAATGTATAGATTTTTACAGCTGTAATCTAAAACACCACTAAAGTGAAACTACAGGAGAAAGTGGTTGATTTCATGTTATCTCAGCATGTCCCACCATCACTTACGCATCCTTTTCTCATCATCCTTATTGTCTCCAATTCTTATTTCAGGTGATTTCAAAACAAATAAATAATGTTCAGTCACTGACAATAACAAATGCACACACAAACAAGTATGAGTGCAACAGTGCATGAAAACACATGCACGAACAGAGCATTTCTCATGTCATGCTTATGATACTAGTTAAAATGAATAATAGGCACATTATGCATTTCTCTGTATATGCTGTTGTTGCTAGAAGGACATTTATTTCTGTTGCGCTGTGCGTACACCTTCCTCAAAATGTAAATGACCCAGATTCTGCCAGCACTTTTCTCCCCACAGTCCCCAAACTAGTAAGTCAAAAGAAAAAGGGAAAGATGTTCTTATTTGTATGTATGCGTGTTATCAGAGCCCGTGGGCCTCTGTTCGCCTTCTCAAGAGCCATAGCCGTTATCGCACACCGCCTTGCCTCGACAGAGTTACCAGCTCCCGCTCACTTTCCTGCGGCTGTGGCCCCAGAGGCAGGCTACAACCAGCTGCAGGGCCCCTACTGGGGGCCCCATTGTCTCCGTCAGCATACTTTTTTTAGTTGAAAACCCAGGGCGCTCTCCAAGCTCATTGTGAGTGAGCTAACAGCCTCTCTTCAAAAGGGGCAAAACGCATGTTCATTAATTATCTGGATCCTTGTTAACTGGATTAATTGTTGAATAGAAGCCGTGTTATTAAAAATGACGAAAACACAAGGGCAGGGGGAGCAAAAGGGGGGATTAATATCGTTCCTGTTTACTCTCGGGCTGTCAGAAGACACAAGCTTGCACAGGCTCACACACACACACACACACACACACACACACAAATTTAGGTATGCTATGCCTGTGTATCTCCACGTGTCTCTCTCTCTCTCTCTCTGCCTCTAACTCTGCATTTCTATTTCGCACACATAGCAACACACACGCACACAGAAGCCGTATGTGACCCAACTCAGAAGAATGAGCGCTAGGCAAGGTGCAAATTACCATGCGCACCGTTGAGATAAGAACTAAAACCATTTTCAAAGCTCAGAATAAATGCCAGATTCTTTTTGATGCAAGAAGTCTGTGACTTTTTCCATCGCTTATATTCAAAGATTAAGGGGGGGGGAATAAAAGAGAAACATAAAGTCAACGCCATGAACAATTTAGCTATCTCCAAGTCACATGAAAAACGGGGTTTCTCATTCCCTCTGCCTATCTTCATAGTCTTATCCACCAAAATCACTTATCAGTTTTGGCTTCAAGGGATGTTTTATCATTCTGGCTGTAAGATAGCACACTGATATTGCCGACCATTTGGATGACTAATGTAACATGCCCTGTCTAATTGGTGGAGGTGCAAATGACAAGCTATTATGCAAAAACCTTACTATTTGTGTTTTCCTGTGGTCAGTGGTTGAAATGATGACAATGTTAAGTTCCAGACCCTCTGGAGGACAATGGATATGCTAGCAGGGCAATTCAGGTATTAAGCTGTTAAATCCAACCAAGGAACATCATTTTAATTTTGATGTACAGTTATAAACAAACTGAAATAAAAGTTTCAGAAATAATAATTTCTGCTCAAGCTTAAATGAAGGGTCGCATCTTAAACATGTTAAACAGGTGAATTAATCCCAACATAGATGTGGACAATAAGTAATAAACTGTGTCCTTGCCTTGATACCAGTGTTTCTGCAACCTTTCCCAGTAATGTAGCTCCAGTGAATTATATAATCAGACTCATCAGACCCGTAGGAGCCTATGTGAAATCTTTCAAGATTAACAACTTCATTTTTGAAGATTGTGTCTCAGCTGTACCAGGCTTGTTTTGTCTGAGACTCCACTGAAGTTCAACAATAATTATAGCAATTACATACTGTAGCTATGTGTAGACGCTGGCTGACGGGCAGAGAAGCAGGATCCAGTAGATATGTTGCACTGGTTGTTAAGGCAACTGTATCTGTCTTCCTGCTTTGATGTAGAGGCTCCTGTCGCCTGCTGCACTCCCAAATGCTGTTTTCTAGAACTGGAGGACTGATTTAAAATATTTTTGTGGGGATATGTGTGTGTAATATTTTTCTGTGTGTGAAAGCAAGTTTGTATATATGTTGTAAGTGTGTGGCACACGTCTCTTGAGTTAATGATACAGAGACATGATTTCAGTCTAATTAAACTTGTCCAAACACATCAACAGATCTCGTCAGTTGTTTGATCAATTTATTGGACGTGCTGCACTAATATTAAGAGTCTCTCTACCAACACAGTGTCAACAAACTGCAGCCAGAAGGTCATAATGCAGCTGTTTGAGCATTAGCGCACTCAGCGTAGGGCCTACTTTTACAAAGACATGAGTGAGTGAGCAGTAAGCGGACAAATTAAATGAGAGCCGCGATCAGGGCTCCCCTCTCAGCCAACAGCTGTTAAAATCAAAACAGACTGGTTGTGGTTTATTTTCGCACTAAGCAGTATGTGAGAAACCGGAGGTGGCTGGTTTGTGTGTGTTCCATTGATCAGGAATGTTAATCTTCGGGGGATATGAAGAAAGGTCCTCCCAAGGACAGGACAATGAAAAGGCTCTATTGATTACTATAAGATTGATCAATCGGTCCCAAGACAGATAACAAGATGAACAAGTCTTGAGTAACAAAAGGCATCTTGTAGGATATGGACTGCACAGGTTAATAATTTTTACATTATTTCAGCACGCTAAAGATACATGAAGTCCGCCTAATTCATAGGCTGGTCTTGGCAAGTACACAACCTCTGTCATACACAAACACTGTGTATGAAGTGGGAGATCACTAGTCCATACCTGATTAGTAGACCCATACACATCAATGTGAAACCAAATAATTATATTTGATAATTAAGTGACAAATAGAGCTCCTGTGCTTTCAGGTAGTCACTGGAATGTGGTTTTCACCCTGGATTGGCAAGATGAAGGAACGTGCTGATGATCTTGTGTAATGTAGAGGACTCCACAGCCCTGGCACTTTCTAAATAGTGTTACTGTGTGATTTGTAATCCTAAACAGCAGTGTTTAACTATTTTAGAATACTATACTTTGTTACAACCTAGATGCCTAGGGGCAAAATTGGCAAAAGAAAATGTAATTTATTAGTGGAGCAGACATTTTCTGACAAATATATAACAAAATAAATAAATAAAAGAAGTGATCTACAAAGTGAGAGGGGCCTGTGTGTTTTTAAGTCAAAAAGAAATAAATATAACAAACTCATGATTTGTAAATGATTTACCTTGCTGTCTAAAACAAAGACAGAAAATTAAACCTCAGTTGACTCCACTTTCCACCCCCCTTTGATGTTAAAAGTTATGAGGCCAATGACTACAGTTCCATACTGTTAAGAAACCAAAAAACTGTTGGAGTCTGAAAATGTTTAACTGCTATAATGTTGCTATTAGTGAGGAAGAGAAAGAAGTAAATGTGTGATATTGTGTTGACAACACTTCAGAGGCATTATGTGCATTCCTGCGCACTGCACACCATTGCCCTGATTTTCTGTCTATCATTCCCAGAACCACTCTGCCCCGCCCTCCTGGCTCGGGTGTGAGCTGTCATTGGTTGTCACATTAGTCCCTGAAAGCCCCACTGGCCAATAGTCGTTGAGGAGGACGGAGCCTTTCCGGCGGAACAGTCTCTCGCGCCTACAGTGGTGGAATCGAACGTCCCCGAGCGCACACGGCGTAGAGGAGAGTACGGCGCACGAGTCTCTGGAAGGAAGATAACGGTTTATTTTTTTGCCCCCTCTCGACTCAAACAACAAGAACAAACCAAACCTGAATTTTCAGAGGGGGTTTACATAGTCTTCTCATCACAAGGAGGAGGGAAGCGAGGGATTGGATCCGCAAGTTTTTTTTTTCTTTTTCGTTTTTTTTCTTCTTCTCTTTTTCCTAAAAGAGGATTCTGTGTTTTCGCGGTGGTTTGTTCTCCGTTCTCGCCGCAAAGATGATGGTCGGAGAGGTCGAAGTGAAGGAGCGACCGAGGCCGAGTCCCGACTATTTGATGCAATTATTAAACGAGAAGAAGCTCATGACCAGTTTGCCAAATCTCTGCGGCATCTTCACGCACCTGGAGAGGCTTCTCGATGAAGGTAAGTGGCGGTCTGGAGCGACCGGGGAGCCGCCGTGGAGGGGGGGAAAGCGTGACCACGGCGCAGTCCGGTTGTCGGCACGGCTTCGCTGGGCGTCCCTACTGCGTAATATTCTAGCATCAGATATACAGATATTGATGACCGTGGCAAGCCTTTCAAACACTTACAACGTCCAGTACCACACATCCAAAACAAGAAATCCGGCCGAGCTTGTTTAACTGTTCCACTCCAGCGAGATGTTGAGAGTTGCGTTGCTAACGTTAGGCTTCCAGGAGTTTGTTGCTGCACTCCTGACTTTGTGGTGACAAGACGAAAACTTTCTCTCGCTCACTTAGAAAGTCTTTCAGTGCGTGTGTGTTGACTAAATTCGCTCACAGGGAAGTTTTGAAGCACACTTAAAGGCTTATCAAATGCAAATCTCACTTAATTTAGACGGGCCCTGGTTCCACATGTTCCACGGCAAATTAGCTTGGGTTAGCCACATTTTAAGCTAGCGAGCCTGGGTGTCTGCGTTCCGTTGAACTCTTCAGGAACCATAAAACGTCAACTCAGCTAACTTACGTTTTGAAAAATAAAGATTTCACCAGTCGGTAAAGACGTTTCAGACAAATGTGTAGAAGTGTTAGAAAAGTTGACTGTCGCTTTCCTTATTTGTGCCTCAGTTGTTGCCCAGCGGCCGACCTTAAAAGCACGAAGGAATGTGTCTGCTTGTTGCCCAAACAATGGCCAGTGAGTTGCAGCTGGGAGGGGGAGTGCACGAAGATTATTTCAGCCGTCTAACTTTTTCATTAAAAGGAGCACCATTTTGTTTGTTTCCCTTCACCCTGCTACTACAATATTTGTCCTCAAATGAGGGGTATGCTTCTCTCGGCTGTGTTTCCTTCCCTTGCTGCAGCAGCCGTCGTGTTTTTCCCCAGTCAAGCGTGCCCTTCCAAAAACTGCGTCGCCTTTTGTCGGCGGCGCCGTCCAGACGGGGTTTGTCTGTCTATATGTATTTTCTACGCGTGGCAGCTGATTTTGGCACAAGCAGCGGCGCCGATAAACCAGGCTTATTCGCCGTTTATGTTGATAGTATCAATAACATAAGCTGGTCAAAGCGTAAGGTTGGACCTATGCTTTATGTAACTGAGCTGGGGACACTAGAGAGCGCCACAGCCCCCTAGCAGACTGTCCCCATGCCGTGTCTGGTGTTGGACTGGACACCACGACACTTCACGGGATATGTGAGTTATTATTTCGCATGCAATATTGGACGTAAATAGCAGTGCGTATGTCATAGTTTCGGTTGCATGGCTGGGGTGAGTAGGCTATGTAGTATGTAGTTGCTAAACCGGTCTGCAAAGATTTTCTTGCTTCCTTGGTGAGTGAATAAACAAGACACTTCAGACGTGGACTATTTCCTCCCCACCCCACAAGAAAGCTACAACAATGCAAAAATAAATGTATTTAACACGGCCTAAAATACCTCTACTCGATTGTAGTTTACACTTGAATGTTATTTTGATGGTCATCTGGAGAAATTGGAAATTGTTTCAGGTTGAGGCCTGCAGAAATGTAAGCAATTAAGCCCCGTTCCTTTCCAAGCACACCACTCTCCACACCAAATAAATGCCTTACAAAGGAGGCAATTGTTGAGTCTTTTTTAAATTCTCGAAGGGCCACTTTTTCGGACTCAATTAGGAATGATCAGTGTGTTGATGTTTTCATTGAGGGGAGAGTCAGGAAGCAGACTTCTTTTCTTTTTCATCCCTGTGCCCCTTTGCCATTTCCCGGCCCACATAGTCACATACCCCAGCAGCCTTACTGAACAGTAAAGAAAAGGGAACGTGCACACAGTCTCTGCACCTCTTATTACAACACTGCCCATGGTACACTGAAGGAGCTAACTCACTGAAAGCAAGAAACTGCTTTTTATTGTCAGTGGTCAACAAAAAAAATCTAATTATAATCATTTTCCACTTATTAAATTTTACTTTCTGAAATTAAATCTTATGTGTTCTTATAAAAACAAATACTTAGTTCTATCACAATGACTTCTTAAATGTGTTTAGAAGGAACACAACATTTACAACACAGCTGAGGTATTTTCAGTTTTTCTGGTGGGGGAATGTGTCACATTTTGTACTAGGCCTATAGTCATCTTTCTTTGCATTTTAAATTACAAATACTGTGTCTTAACTGCAGGACATTATTAGGACTGGACTGTAAATTATTTTAACCTGCGGGGGTTTACATTTACAGATTTATAGTTTGTTTCGCTTGGGAGGAAAAGTAAAAGTTATTAAGCAAATGTCTGAAATAAAGAGGTTGAATAGATTTGCTTGTCTGTCTTTCTTTAAAAGAAAAGCTTTTCCAACATGTATTTTAATGTCTTGCACCACATTGTTTAGTGGCTTTGGACGAACTGGTTTGTTAGGGGTTAAGAAATGAGTTGTGTAATGCCGGACTGGTCTGACTCTTCCATGCAGCGTTCAACAGAAACAGAAAATGGACGAAACATTCCCTTCTCTGGTGTTTTAAAAATCAGGGCCGGGAGACTCGCGACTCAGTCTGACTCCTCTAAAGCCACACATGTCTGAGGTTTACAAGTGTTTCCACAGCACCAGCCCAAACTTTACCCCGCCGCCAAAAATTGCGCGTGTGTGTGATGAAAGCCACCCCAGTGCAGAGGAGGCCTGTCTGACTGTCTGGTTCCTGTTAGGGTCTGTTTGGTTTGCTTTCCCCTTTGGACGGGGCCAGAGCTCTGATCTGAAATTCTGGGCTAGCCTCCTCCCTGTCCTGTACTTGTGAAAACTGACCCCACCCAGGATAAAACCAAATGCACAATCCAGTCAGTGTAATTTTTTTTATCAATCTAAAAAATAGAGAAGATAACGGTGTTAAAATAATAAACCTTCTCTTTGGCCTAGTATTCTTAAAATTGTTCTTAAGTGTGTTATTTTAATAGCCTGTTCAGTCAAATAGCTACAGTTTCAGAAGCTGAGATAAAAAAAAATAATTTAACGTGTAGTGGTAGTTTGGTAGTTTGAGGTTGATATTTGTATGTTAAAATGTTTTATAATGATAAATGAAGCATGTTTTCTGACCGTGGTCTTTGCCAGCATTAACGATAAACATTACACTTGTGTGCGACTTCCAGTCTGACAGCATAGACTCCAGAAGGGAATCTTTAACTTACGTTTGATCTGAAAAGTGTGTGTGTGTGTGTCAGTGTGTGTTGCAGCTGTAGGAGGATTTTGGTCAGTTCTGTCTCATTGAGAGCGGCTGTCTGTAAATACAACCCGGAGTAAGCAAATGCAACATAAAAACCCATTGAAGCACAAGCAGAGGAAAAAACATAACCAGTCAGTGTAGAGTTGTGTATGAATGAAAAGAGAGTTAAAGGCCGTCCTAATCTGTCAACAATGCATCGGCAGTCTTGACTCCGGAGGGACGAAAGTTTTTGTGTATTGTTGATAAAATTACAATGACGGCACACAAGGCTGAAATGCCTTCCTTTGTCAAACTTAAGTGCACCCAATAAGATTAAAAAAGTCTTTTCTCAGTTGTCCATCCCTCGAGATTATCCTCACGACAGCTGCACATCTCCCTCACCCACCCAAAGTTTTGTGCCCGTCTACACAGCTGTTTCTGTGGCGGAAGAAAGCCGACACCACCCTTGATGACCGCTGCTCCCGCCCTGCTGTAGTGGAGTGGACGTTCCTATTTCGTTGCCAATATGTGTGTAGTCCCTCAAGGTCACTCTGGCTGAGTGACAGGCCCCTTTTTGAAATCCCCTTGCGTTGCAGTTGTTCATCTCCCCGAGGTGACACCTGCTATGGAGTTTTTTATTTATTTATTATTTCTCTTTACGATCTGCCAGCCAACAAGCTGCTTCAAATTGCTATATTTTCTCTTGGCAGGAGGAGACAGCCCATATAACATCTAGAGATGTAGCTCAGTAGTGAAGGCGCTGTTGTAAGGTAGCAGAGCGTAGGAGAAAGGGAGGATTATTATTTATTTTTTGTTGTCATGAAGTGTTGCGAGTCTTTCATTGGGATTTCAGCATAGTCAGATTAATTTGGAATGTATTCCAAGCTCCCCTTACCATTCCTTACAGACTCATTTTTTTGCTTTGTTTGTATAATAGATTAAATGGTCCGTTCTATTGCATGCTGTGTGGCAGAGCCACACGGTGCATAGTACCGCTTGTTCCAGGCTACAGTACCCCCTCCCCCCTTTCATATACAGTTTTGTGTCTCTTTTTTTCCCTCTGTGTGCTATGATTTAACAGGACCTTCCCAGGAGAGCTGTCAGCGTTCGGAGGACAAACTGTCTGCTGTCCACGGCGTTGCCTGTGTAGGGAACTGGTCCTTTGGGAACAGCTGTTTAGAGTACAGATTTTGATAAATGGGAGAATGTGTTTTTCTACCTGTCAGTCTGTCCATATGGTTCACCCCCTTTTTTTTGTTGCCTGTGTGTGGCTGTTGCATCACTGTACTTTCCCCACCGTAGGTTGACCCTTGGCGTTGCTTAGCACAGGTCTAGACCTACACTAACCTCTGACATTCAATCAATTTAGCAGCTAACAAGACTGCGCATTGTAGGATACAGCTTAGAGCCATGAGAGAGCACAGACAGAGTGACTGGAAGTGAGGACAGGGGGTGCTAGGCCAGGGCTGCTGTTATATCCCCCATCCCCAAACCTTTTCTCTTCTCCCAACGTTCTCTCCCAAAGCAACTCATAAGCTGGAATTTAATTAACCAAGAGCCATTCTGTGAGCTGGTTACTGAGTCGTCGCCACCAGCGAGAAAGCAGAAGGCTCTGTGTTATCTTCCTCTGTCTGCCTCTCTTGCCCTCATGTGTTCCCTCTTTCTCACTCTCTCTCTTCTCACTCTCCCTCCCCGGTTATAAATTATGTGGTGGCATAAGTCTGACAGGGTGAGGTGCGGGGGTTGTCTGACGTGCCTCTGCCTAGCAGCCTTCCTATCCAGTATCCCCACCACAGTGCCTGTGTGAG